TTTTTTTTTTTTTTTTTTTGGAGAATTTTGATGAGGGCATTTCGCAGATGCTCGAGGATTTTGATCCTCTGTTCGCTCTGCGTTTCGGTTTTTGTTCCTGTTGTTCTGCTCTCGTGCAGGCTCAAACACATCAAATCGGATGGTGAGTGTGTTTTCTGCGTTCCTTCTTGCAGTTATTTATGCATCTGATTTCTCGTTCTTTTTTTTTTCAGTTTTTTTTAATCTTTTCCTCTTGTTTGTGTGCAGTATCTGAAGACTTCGTTGAAGATTTATCCATCATTGTATGAATCTTCTTCTTCTTCTTCTTCTTCTTTAGTGCTTATTGACAGTGTTAACTTACTTGGTTAATTTGGTGATGAGTTCTAATGCTTCTGGTTGATTACTGGGCTATGATTTTGTGTGTATTATACTGCTGCGGCGTTGTGAGTTTTGCTTGTTAATGTGGTGTTTGATTGTTCAGTGTGCTGTGCTCAGGGTCCATTTCCCATTCATTTTTCATTTTTGCTTCATTTCACTAATTGGACAGTTTTATTGATTGATAATAGTCTGAGATCCCAAGTATTGAAAATTTTCAATTGAGAGTCTGTTGTGCTCGACATGTTATGGAATAATTATTTTGTGATTTTTGTTGTACAGAAACACAGAACGGATGCTCACACACTAAATGCGATCGAGCAGGTAATTGGATATGTAACTGTATGTCACATACTTATCATGCCATTTTAGTTTTTGTGCTCCTGGGTTATCTGTTAATTTTTTTATTTAACAGGAAGGTGAAGGTTTGAAAGAACCCCAACTGGTGGTGTACAAAGATGAAACCTCTAGTTCTGCCGTTAATCTTAGTTTTAGTGAGGGTACAAGAGCTAGTGAAGTTAAAAACGCAGCAAATGATGCTGACCTATCGGAAAATAGTGGTTGGTGTTATTCATATGCATTTTTATTTAAATTTGTTTTGCTGCTCGTTTAATGTACAGTGATATGTACTTTTCCTTTGTGCTCGTTTCAAGTTCAGCAACTAGGCATGATGCAAGTGAAAGTGCCCAGAAAGGACATCAAGAGGGGCTTGCCTTGTCTGGGACAAGGGTATGTTATTCTCATTGCACCGTATTTGCTTGTTTACTGTGTTTTGGACCCCGAGTTTGAATTGTTGGGCTGACATTTAATAGAGGCGTTTAAGTTGATTTACATTTTTTCAGTGATAAGTTATGTGTTTGTGATTTTTCAATGTAAATAATTTTTGTTTTTATTGAGAGCAATAATTCTGTACCTGCACAACCGTTGCAAGCTTTGACCAAGTGATGAATGAGATTGATGAGTTTTGCTTATTAACAATTTAAATCATCGGTTATTTGTGCACGAAGTTCTAGATGAGAGATAATCTATGTAATGAACCAATTCGCGAAAGGTGCAAATAGAAGTTTATTTGGATGATGGCTCTCCGAATTTCTACCCAGGATAAGCAATTTGTGTTTCTGAAATGCTAGAGAGCCTGCACTAGTAATTGTACTTTTTAGCCTTTATTCTCTTACATTGGCTTACTTGATCGTGTTCATCACTATTGTAAATATCCATGGGGTTCTATTTATGTCAGAAATCCTCATAATTTTCTGATCATGTCTTGTGTAGTTGTACATGATCTATCACATCTAATATTTGTCAAAGGATGTACTGCACATACCAACAAATTGTGAATATGTATTTATTGTTTTGTTATTTTCAGGAATACCACTGTTCTAGGATGTAATCAAAGCTAATTTATGACCTATTAATATTCTGCATATTCGGCGTGATGCTTCTTGCTTTATAATTACATCTTTCTTTCTGGGTGACTAGTGAAGTGTTTCCTTAATTTTCTTTTCCTGCCTGTTTCATTTTCTTTCTTCTTCTCACCCACTAATTTATTACATTTTGTTCACGAAAGGAAGAGTCCCACAAAGACAAGGCACAGCTTAATCGGGTTGCACGCAGTAGGACGAGAGTATTGGATGAGAAGGTGAAAGAGATGAAAGACCAAGTGATTAGGGCCAGAGCATACTTAACTTTCACACCATCAAATAGCAGTTCTCATATTGTGAAAGAGTTGAAACTCCGAGTAAAAGAGGTTGAACGAGCCATGAGTCAATCCACCAAAGATTCCCGTGTATCTCGGAGGTACAACATTATCCTTCTAAGCTTTTTCATCTTATTTTAGACACTGAAAGATCACAGTACTACTTTGTGAGATTGTGGGAATTGAAGGCACAAAAATCATTGTTTTTTTATAATAAGATTGCTCGGCCATTCACTTTCTCACTAGCATAGTTCTACGATTATCTCTTGTTCTTTACTTTTAGATTGTCATGAGAACTGAGCTCCCATTTCCAATTATCTAATATACACTTGTTGATCGTCTTCACACATGGTGCACTTCTGCTGAGGAAGACACATGATCGACCTTTATTTTGTTAATTTTCTTTTGGCTCTTTGGAATTTGTCGAGCTCACTGATTCATACCTCATCATTGCTGGATTCGATGTTGGACATGTGTGGCCGTTTTATTATATTTTCTATGCTAAAATTGTTACTTAGTCAGATGCTTATTGATCGAATCCACATTTGGAGCATATTTTGGCTTTATTTTCTGAATAATCTTGTGAGGCACCATGTTGTTCGACAATCTAAAATAAGTCCCACATCTCACGTGCATTTACCATCCAAAGAGGTAAATTACCCCTTAGTTTTCTAGACATGATTGGTAACTCTATGTAAAGTCATGCTCAGTCAGTCTGACTGTACATTAGTACTTCTTTCCTTTATGCTGTCATTGCAATAGAAACCTTTGACTGCATGCTATCACTATGCATACTTTCAAATAATAATAATAATAAAAAAAATGGTCCGCTTACTAAAACATATATGTTTCATTTGTTTTATAGTGCGGCAGATAACTCAAGTTTGAGAATTCAGTGAAGTTACATTTTAATATATTAAACTCTTGTTCTTCAGTTCTCTACAGAAGGTGAAAGCAATGGAAGCTACGTTGTTAAAAGCAAGTCGTATTTATCCTGATTGTGCTGCAATGGTTAAGAAGCTCCGTGCCATGACTCATAATGCCGAAGAGCAAGTGAGGTCTCAGAGGAATCAAGAAGCTTTTCTTAGAGGACTTGGTGGGAGGACCATCCCGAAAGGCCTTCACTGCCTCTCTATGAGATTGACTGCTGAGTATTTTGCACTGGATCCTAAGGAGAGGGAGTTTCGTCACAAAAATAAACTACAAAATCCTCATCTATATCATTTTGCTATTTTCTCTGACAATGTATTGGCTTGTTCAGTTGTAGTAAACTCAACTGTCTCAAATGCCAGGGTAAGTGCTGTTTATCCCCCTTCTCTTTATTGATCCCAGTTTAGATGTATTACAGAACAAGTTCCTTATGCAGCACACCTGGTTCTTATTTATATGTAGGTATAATTACTACTAGCCTCTCTATTTTAACACCGAATAAAATCTCAAGGCTCTAAATATCTGTTTTTTTTTTTGTGATTTTTTCCCTTAAATTTTCGTAACTACTCCAAATCAGGGTTAATTTTGTCATCATCCCTTTTATTCTCCCTCATAGCACCTGGATTATGCTTGAAAATGACCTAAATACCTGATGCTTCTCAATTTAAGATGTATTTTTACTTGACAGGAACCAGAGAAATTGGTATTTCATGTGGTAACTGACTCCCTTAACCTTCCGGCAATGTCGATGTGGTTTTTGCTAAACCCACCTAGCAAAGCTACTGTGCACGTCAAGAGCACAGACAATTTTAACTGGCTAACCACCAAATACAACGTGACTCTACAAAGAGAAGGCTCTGTTGATCCTCGATATACTTCTGAGCTAAACCACCTCCGGTTTTATTTGCCAGTTGTCTTTCCAAATCTGAATAAGATTGTTCTTCTCGATCATGATCTGGTGGTACAAAAGGATTTAACGAGGCTGTGGAGCATTAACATGAGGGGCAGAATAAATGGTGCTGTGCAGACGTGTAATGAAGGGGAACCTTCTTTCCGCCGTATGGACATGTTTGTCAATTTCACGGACCCTTTAATAGCAAACAAGTTCGATGCCAGCACGTGCACGTGGGCTTTTGGGATGAATGTCTTTGATCTTCGGGAGTGGAGGCGCCGGAATTTGACTGGGGTCTATCTGAAGTACCTTCATTTGGTGAGTATTTTTTTCTTTTTTACTTGGCTATAATAACTGCTGAATCTCATATATTTATTTGATCTGTTGTATATAATTGTCCTGGCATTGGTAGGACATGTTTGTTGAACATTTACTCTAAAGACATCTGTTTCTCACTTAAGACTTAAGAGGCTACTAATTATTCGTTGGTTTTACATTTTTTGATGTGGTTCGTTTAAAATACTTGGTAAACAGTAAATACTGCTTCTTAGTCGTGTCGTCAAAACAAAAATGCTAAGATGGAACCAGTGCTAGTTTTTTGTCAGAAATATAAATTTTCTTCCTAAACTTTATGCATATCAACCTTAAAAAATTTGGCTATATTTATAATTTTTTTACGCGTTCATCTTGCAGGGCAACAAGAGGCCGATCTGGACAGAAGGAAGTTTGCCCATTGGTTGGCTCACATTTTACAAACAAACACTTGCTTTGGATAATCAGTGGCAAGTCCTAGGGTTAGGGCATGACTCTAGTGTTAGGAAGGACAGCATAGATCGAGCCTCGGTTTTGCATTTTGATGGGATTCATAAACCGTGGTTAGATATCGGGTTCGAGAGGTACAAGCATTACTGGAGGAAACACGTCAAGTACGACCATCCGTACCTGCAACAATGCAATGTTCACGAGTAGATTCAGATTCCAACACCACTGAGAAGATTCGAGTTTATACAATTAGGGATACCGCCTCATGTTCACTTCATTCTTTCTCAATTTTCAACTATTCTTACATGTACATTTCAACTCATTTTTTGCCTTTTTTATCTCTCTTTACTCAGTTATTGTTATTGTCCAGCCATAGGATTTTTAGGAGAGGAGACCATTTCTAGCAATAAGGGGCCATATTTTGGTGAAGCCCGTGTCATAGTATTTGCCTCGATATTGTGCATGTAAAACTTATGTAGAGCAACCAACAGTCAGAATGATATGACAATTGACATGAGTTCTGATGAACAACCCCTTAATAGGGGCAATGCACCCTACAGAATTTGTAACCCTTGATTTCACACACCTGCACGTGTATGTAAATCAAGGATTAAAAGCCCATAAGGCAGTGCCTCCATGGGCTGGGTCTACCCCTTCCACTTTTGTAAGAAAAGTAAAATGGATGTAGACATGACTAGAGCTGTAAATGAGTCGAGTCGAGGGAGCTTTTACCGAGCCGAGCCGAGTTTGGCTCGTTAGATAAACGAGTCTGAAATCGAGCTCGAGCTTGTTAAGGCCTCGAGCTCGAGCCTTAACGAGTCGATCTCGAGCTTTATCGAGTCGAACTATAAAATATTATATAAAAATTCTATTTTTGAGCCTTATCGGCTCGTTAGCCAAACGAGCTTTAAATGAGCTCGAGCTCGGCTCGTTAAGGCCTCGAACTCGAGCTGAATTCGAGCCTTAACGAGCCGAGCTCAAGTCGAGCCAAATCAGGCTCGTTTAATTTAACAGCAATAGACATGACCAAATGATGGTTTTGGGCCGCGGTTTTGAAGGCCTTGAATCGACTTGGAATGTTGGTTCCGTGAACCACTGGTTTTGGGTCGAGCCGTTTCGTTAAAAGATAAAAATAAAAAAGGTCGTGACAGTTCGGCCTGGCCCGACAGACAGACAGTCGATGGTATATAATTAACGCTCGTAATTTTCAAAAATTAAGGCTCGTTCTTTTTATTGCAAAAGTTAAATATTAAAATTAAACTAAAAAATGTTAAAAAAACTAATTTTCAGTTTATGGATTTTAATTGGTTTGGAACAATGGAAAGAACATATAGGGTGTATTTGTATATAAAATAACTCAACCAAATACTCAATCCGTATTTAAAATCAAACTCAACTATATTATTTTTAATATTATCAATATAATTAAATAATATTAATCTATTATTATTAATTATTACATATCACATCAACTTTAATTCATTATTCATTCACTCACATAAACTTTAATTTATTATTCAAGTGGATATATTGTAGACAAGCACGCCCTTTAGCATTTCATAGAACTTATGGCTGCCCTGCCATGGAGAGAAGTGACACGTGGCGATAAGCGGCTGGACGCTTATAGATGAGAAAGCCACTTACCTAATCCGAGGTGTATGGCTCCAAATCCCACCTTAACACAAACTGAATTTTTTCCACAGCAAACAAACTTGTAATAAGCTGCAAGCCAATCAACTTTCATTCGTCCGAATCCAATTAAATTAAATAAATAAATTAAAAAAAAAATGGCCACCATATCAGCTTGCACCTCAACTTCATCGGTTCCACGTGCCACCCTCGTGCCGAAGGAATCCGTCGTGCGCCCCTCCGCAGTTCACGGTAAGGATTTGTCGATCCTTCTTTCTTTCTTTCTTCTTCCTAAAATTTAGAGTTGTAAACGAGTCAAATCGAGTCGAGTTTAAGTTTCAAGCTCGGGCTCGAGTTCTTATCAAGTTAATAAATGAGCTTCTAATTACGTTAAAAGTTCACGAAATTACGTTAACAAAAATTATTTATCAAGCCCAACCAACCGTATGGTGGCTTTTTGCTAGTATTTATCTATTAATGTAATTATATATTAATCAAATAAATTGTTATAGTTTAAAATGTTAATTAGGAGTCGTGGTATGAGTATTGTTAAACGTAACGAAACCGCTCGTGAACTCAACTGCTTGAGAAATTGGGAGTATTAAATAATTTTCTTAAATTTTTTAACATAATTTAGCTTTTTAAGGCTCGAATTCATTTATCGGTTCTTTACTTGAGTACAACAATCTCGGCTCGTTAATAAATATTTTCATTTTAATTAAATTACAGGCTTGCCATCAATGCCGAGGAAGATGGGGAAAGTTCGATGCTCCATGGACGGAAAGCCAAATGAGAGCGAGCCGAATGTGGGATTGGCGGCTTCATTGGCGGCGGCTTGTGTGGCGGCTATGTCAAGCCCAGCCGCCATGGCCTTGGTGGACGAGAGAATGAGCACGGAGGGTACTGGGCTGCCGTTTGGGCTGAGCAATAATCTGTTGGGCTGGATCCTCTTTGGTGTATTCAGTTTGATTTGGGCTTTCTACTTTATATATGTATCGAGCCTTGAGGAGGATGAGGAATCAGGGTTGTCCCTTTGAAGCTTTTTGGGGGATTTTAATTTTTGTTATTATTATTACTAAATCTTGTATAAGAGATTGTGTTCAATATGTACTAAAACACTATTTTTACTGTAATTATATTGGTTTTCTTTTGCCTTGTTTGTTTGAGAACCATGAAAAACAATATGATTAATGACTTGTAGGGTGGAGAGCTTTTAAATAAAACTGAGTCGTTCGTGAGCTCGGCTCGACTCTAAACGAACTAAACTCGAGTTCACTGATAGCTCGTTTGGTTAACAAACCAAGCTCGGCCAATTGGTACCTCCCTCTCCTCTGGTGGTGCAATAGAAGATGGAGGAGCCTCGTTCAATGCTGCTTAGCCGCTACTGACCAACTTGCTTCCATATCAAGTTCTGGTCCATTGTTTGCTCGAACTCCCGATTTTTAAAGTCGATGGATTTTCCGCTTTCTATAAATTTCATTCTTGCCGGTGTGTACAAGGCCCGAGAACAAATTCACTGGTTGACTGGCGATTACTAGCGATTTCGACTTCATGCAGGCGAGTTGCAGCCTGCAATCCGAACTGAGACCGGGTTACTTTACTGCTGGGTTTGAGAAAATGCTTGACCATCGGGAAAGGCAGAAAACTTGTGTATTACCGGCAAGGAGGTTGGCATAGTCTCTTATATGTCAATCATCAGTTAAGGTCGGGAATATACCAGGATGTTCATGGGTTGAGCGCTCGCTGTCACGATGCCAAAACCAGGAATCAAAGACTCGATGTAATTGAGATCCTTCGAGAAAGATGTTGCGCCTTATCGAGCTCAAGGTCATCCGGAGCCTCTCCCTTACTACTTCTGACTTGACTACGCTTCGCTTCGTTCGTTCGGTCGATATAATTGTACGGCTCAATAGACGATTGTTATTTAATTTTTTTTTACAACTCAATTTTTGTTCGTTAATATTGATATAGGAGCCAAATTGAAACTCGAGCTTGAGCTTGATTATAAACTCGTTAAGTTAATGAACTAGTCGAGCCGAGAGGCTCCAGATATGGGAAGCATGAAAAGTTTTGGTAATTAACGAACAGATACAACATTTAAAAGTATACGTAATTAAATCGGTTTTGCTATGAAGCCAACAGTTGGTAATTTATTAAGTTATTATATTAAAAATAATATATATATATATATAATTTATTAAATTACTATTTCTTAAGAAGTTGCCAAAAAGAGTCCTTCCTCTGGTCCATATACTCCTGCTTAGAAAGATGGAGCTACTCCGATCCAATTAGTCTATTCACAAGCCATTCTAAGAGCGTCATTCAAGCCTTAGCCTGAAAAAGCGCCCCCGCTGGTGGATTAGTCGACATTTATTACAAATTTTACGAACGGAAGCTCTCCCCTATAATGAGATAGAATAGATATGTTCATGGATAGACATGTAATTGATTCTCCGGGCCTTTTCACGTGCGTAAGGGGATTCCTCTTTTCGCGTCGGTTTAACTACCTTTTGATGTGGGAGTGAAAGATAAAGTATTGGTGAAGCGAAATTCAGTCATAGACAAAAAAATGAAGTAATTGAGGAAAAGAATAACGAGGAAGATCCATCGCAATTGTTTTGTTTCCGGGAAAGAATCGCGTTATCCGCGAGAGAGAACGGTTGAGTCTTTCTTCTTATTGTTATGCAATGTACTCTTTTTCCTCTCAAAAATGGATTTTTGTTCAAGAATGGAATCTTATTGGAACTGTCCATATCTGGTTCATCCTTTTTCTGTTCTCCGATACGGGGATGGAATGTGAAGGCATCAGTGGATCTCCGCATCTTACTATTGAGAAGGTCTCTCGAGCCAACAAATACTTAACTACAACATGTGTCGTCTGTGGTATAGTGGAGTCAACCTTCTATATACAACAAATAAACCTACCATATTAATAAAATTATATTAGTGTTATTTAAGTAGTCCGATAATATGGTAGGTTTATTTGTTTTATATAGAATGTTGGCTCCACTATGGAGTCAACTGTTGACTTCATAGCAAAACCGGTAATTAAAATTGTGTTTTGGGCCAATTATAAAATCATATAATCAACCACGGTTTTAAATAGTTCGCTATGGCTCGCTATATTGATTTTTTTTTTTTTCCAAAAATGCGACGTAGTTTTATATATTAATTGTTTTTCCTGAAAAACTTACGTCAAATGCTGAAATAACACGTTTTTTTTACCCTATTTTACGTTATTTCACGTTATTTTACGCTACTTTACGCTATATTTTTGCAACGACATTTAAATATAAAATATTAAAAAAATGTATTTATTAGGGATTAGAGTTATATTTTTAAATGATAAAAAATTAAAATTTTGATAGTGATTTCATTTTAAAAGTTTGAAAATGCAAAGTCCTAAATTAAATAGTGCAATATATATCGGTCTAAGTCTATTATATTATTATATTTTTGAGTATTTGACATTTAAATTTAAGAATAAAAAGTTAAGATTTATTGGTTAGAATCAAATTATAATTAAACAAAAAAAATGAATTACAATATATATGCGTAAAATTAAGGTAAAATTGCGG